ATCACAAGACAAAATTATTTCTTGTAGACCATTGTCCCTGCACTATCCGATTTTCCATGTAAGCCCCAGCTTATAATCGAAGCAACTGTTTTGAAAACCTTGTCGATTTTCCATGGTAGAAATTATCTGCCCTTGAAAAATAAGAATTGGACAAACCATTACTCAAGCTGACCTTTCAAAGGATTTGTCACTTGTACTTTCAAATTGAGACCAGTAATGAAGTAGATTTAATTGATTTTATTGTAATTACGCTTAAAACACCTGATATTCGGAATAAGTTCTATACATGAAAATCTGGAAACAAAGTGATATCAAACCAAGAATCTGCAACAGAATTTTGGCTGTGAAAAAATGTTGTTTTTGTAATGCACGAAGAGACTGCTCAAATTATGATGCTTTTCTAGTGTTGGTGTTTCAATTCCCTTCTCTTATCTTTTAACAGCCCTCAACTAATTTTCTGAGTACTACATGTACTTAAATTAGATGTTTAAGGCTATGATTTCACCACCTAGGGTATAGGATAGTAAAATTACAACTATTCGACCTCAGTTGCTGCCTGTTGCTTGGAAATTGACCTGTGACTGGACGATTTTCAAACGTCTGATTTCAAAAGGCAAAATCTGAAAACTTCCAATTGCGAAATGATCCAACAATTGATAACTCATCTCTTTTCTATCTTAAAGGTACTTTATAGAACAAGGGAAGTCTTGAAAAATGTGCTTTTTTGTCTCTAAGATTGTATAAACCTATGTATATCTTTTATATATATACCTAATACTTTATTGACCGATGACTTTTACATTTTTTGGTGTTTATTCCCCGAGGGATCAAGAGTTAGGGGTCACTTGGATAATAGTCACTTGTGTTTAAATGATTTTTACTGCACCTTTTTGTTTGTTATTACTGTCTTTATTTATTGAAAATTATTGACAAAGGTATAAAAACTTTAAAATAATTTGTTTAAGCTCGACTATACGTAAGTATATGGGAGAGCTCTCCTACTCACACCGACGTCGGCGTCCGCAGGGAAATTTCAGATTAAAGTTTTTGTGCAGTAGTATATTTTTTACTTAAACTTGTTTAAAGGTATCATTTTAAATTAAACTTCAAATATATGTTTCTTATCAAAAACAACAACAAAAATTTATGACTCTAGAAGCAAAATTATTAGAATTACCTCCCTGGAACTTTGAGTTGTCCTTTTTTTTTTACTCTACATCTTATTTCATAAGGGATCTACTTCAAACTTCAAATATATGTTCCTTTACATTAAATGTGACCAGATTCTTGACTCAAACGCAAATATTTCAATAATTATCTTCCCAAGAACTTAGAATTTTATTTATTACTGTTACTTTTGTATTTTTAAGGGATTAATTTCAAACGTACGAAATGTTACTTATCATCAACCACATCATATGAAACAAGGGTTCATAACTTAAGAAGTAATAATTTCAGAATAATCTCCCCTTGAACTAAGGATTTTTCATAAAATGTTATTTTTACTCCAACTTTTATATTTCCAAGGAACCTACTTCAAACTTCATATATATGTTCATTATCATCAACCACATGATATGTGACACAATTTACAGATACATGTATTTCATTTTAACATAATTGTTTGGAAAAACTGTTTGTATCGTAAAATACTTGATAGTTATCTATCAATAAAAGAACGTCCTTGAAGACCGATTGCCGTCGAAGACCGGAGAGGGTCGATTAGTAGGTCACCTGTCTGTATCATCCAGAGGTTTGTTTTATCTATCAAACAACGTCTTGATGATAGAGACTACCATAATATTTCTTATTTCACCTTGACTTCCGCTAAAATTAACAGTAAAGAAATGAATATAGGCAGAATTTTCATTGGTCATTTTAACACTAATAGCCTGTTCGATTGATACTTTAGAAGAGCTTCCGTTATAGGTAGAGGTCTGTTCGATTGCGCGATGGCAAGAATTGTTGGAAAAAGATATAAGTCAGAATAAATATAAAATCACAATAATGATAATTTCTAGATGTTTACAACAGCTTTTCAATAAATATATGACAGATCGCCTTTTTGATACTTTTGTGTTTGATTGGGTTTCTCTTCTAAGCTGTGTAGTCATAATATTCTCTTCCGAACCGGTCATAAGACGATTGAAACGAACTTTCGACTAATTTACAGTTGCATGAATTAGTATACAGTATCTACTAAATCTTTGTTTTATTATCAATTCCTATTCCAATCAAATTCCATTTTGTTTAAAATCAAATAATGTCAGTAATAGTGTTTAAATCTAAGATGACAATTAATGGGGAAAAACATTGCGGATAAAAATAAACTGAAATAAAACTATTGAGGACGAATAAAATTTTCTGTTTGCGGTTAGCATGGTTAGTAGTAGCTTATCCTAGGCAAGTTAAAAAGTTTGACTTTGGCCGAGTATCTTTTTAAAGATACTTTTTTGTTTTAATTGTATTTGAATATTATTTTATTATACCGATTTGGAACTACCATATGTGTATCTATAACTAATGATTTTATTACCAATTAAAAAAGAACCTTTACATGTACAACGTTGATTAACCAATAATGTACGGTTAACAGATCACGTGCTCCTCCATGCTCCAATAATGAGTCACGTTGGTCGGGAGAATGTTTTACTTATTTGTCGTTTAAATAAGTTTGTTTTTACCTATTTTAATTAAATTGTTTTTAATGTGAAACAAATCTTTTGACGTTTTTAATTTAAAAGATAATTACTTTTTACCTTATAATTTGTATTAAAAAAATTAAATAATTTGCAGTAAAAACATTCAAAAAAGCATGTAACATCTATATATCTCTTGCATCTCCATGTACCCATGTTCCGAAAACAGGACACGTGCTCCACCATGCCCAAATATTATATGCATACCAATGCACTGCAAGCTCCAGCACACAGGGAATAAAATAGTTTCTTTAAAACTATTAAAATTATGGTATAAAACTTAGTTGAAGTAGTTAAACTTATACAACACCAATATTTAAATAAGGTGTTTCCCTCGAAATTTCGTTAACCTCTGTAGATATTGGTAGGCATACATCAACATGGCTATTTGCGTATGTTTATATATTTTCATGGCTCTTTTAATGCTTACATTGTAACAGCCGTCATCGTGGCGAACATTTATTTGTTTATACGCTGAATAAATAAATTGAATATTAAAAGACATTAACCGGGCATTTGTTTGACAACTTAACTGCTCAAATATCTATCATGTGACTAAGGGATTTTGTTATATAGACGGTAAATATCACTTTCCAGTACCGTCTATGAAGAGGCTCAATCAAACCGAATACCATAATTCTCTATTTTTGGTAAAGAAACTACCTTAAAAATAAATTTAATTTGACTTATAATAATAAAAATGTTGAAACTTATGGGTTTTTTTGTATTATTTGAAAATTTGCTCAATTTGAAGATATTAATTTTCTATTTTATTTCTAGGACAAATTATTACATAACATACTTGTACTTACAAGTTGAGGAAAGGTGGCATAATAATTTGTCATTTTCATTATTCTGGGTTTTCAATTCATTGTTGATATGAACAATACTCCTTTAGTTTTATACACAACTCTGTACCAACTGAAATGTTTTCTTTCTTTCTTTCTTTCTTTCTTATACTGATTCTTAAAGATTTTATTTCTGTCAAAACAGGGTTTGTTTTAGGTATATTCAACAATATTACCACTCTCTAGAAAACAAATATTGGGAAGTTTTTCTTTCATTTGCACATATTTGATTTGTAATAAAAGTTTCTAAGATAAACTCTATTTGTCACTTGGGTTTTAATTTTCGTTTTGATATCTATATAATTTTGTTTCCGCTTTCCTTTTGTTATATTGGATATTTTTTATTGTCTTCGAGCAGAAATAATTGAAATTTTAATTATGTATAGCATGGTCGTCAAAAAAAACATATTCAGGTGTATTGAAAGTCATGATGTTATGCATGGCATTATGCTGCACGTTACATTTCAAATATGTTGTTCGATAGAGGGTTAATAACATATATATTGACACTCTTCTGTGATTTAAAGAATGAATTACTTTAAATATGCTCATTCTAGTACTAAGTTGTTTAATTATACCCTCAAAAACGAAGTTTGGGGGTATATAGGAGTCACCCGGTGGTCGGTCGGTTGGTCGGTCAATCCAGCGGTCCGTTGCATTTTCCTTGTCCGGAGCATAACTTGAAAACTAATGGGTTTTGCGTCCGTGGCCGTAGGTTTAGGTCGTTGACTTCAAACCACTTGCCCCTCAACTCTGTGGGTTCGAATCCCGACAGGGACTTTGGATTCTTTCATGTGAGGAAGCTATCCAGCTAGCTTACGGAACGTCGGTGGTTCTACTCAGGTACCCGTTCGTGCCTGAGGTAATGAACGGAAGGGCACCTGAGGTCTTCCTCCACCAGTAAAGCTGGAACGTGAAGCTATCTTTCCTATGTTTTCAACTTAAAAATGAGCGTTAAAAAAAGCGCAACAAAATGTTGCAAAAAGCGCTTGCCCTACTGATATTAAAAATTATGACTTCTCAAGTCTGGAAATTAGTCTCGCGATATGTTATTTCGGTGGCAATATTTTTTTTCTACTGGACCGGAAGCGGGTTTAAACATAATTTATACCTATAGTTTTGTTCATCTTCCTTTCTTATGTCCTTTTACAGAGGTCAAAGACTGGTTGCCTGTATTTGATTTCAGGTTGTCCAATTGTCAGTACTGTTCATCTTATACATGGTATTCATTTATGGATATAAAAAAGCAAACTCCCTAAAGATTGCTTAAAAGGCAACATTGAAAATGTTGCAGGTTTGTTTTGAATGTTGTACTAGTAAATGTAGGCTTACAGATGACTTTTAACTATGAACTGCTCCAAAACGTTGATCAGCATTCATATGAATAGCAGGACTACTTTAATAAGATAGATTGCTAGGGTTTATTTTCAATTTTCATTTAATTGCATTTCAGGGATATCATCAGTGGAGAAAAAATGTACGGGTGCTTTGAGCTTCTAAATAGAAACATGGTTTGTATGTTTATTTTTATGTTTTAGTTATTATAGTTTGTTATTGTCAGGGAGATATTGTGAACTAGAATTGTTATTTTATAGACGCTATTAGTGACAATACAATTGCTGTTTAAAAGCATCCGTCCTTTCCCGAATTAAAGTTTTTGTTGTTGTTAAGGAGAGGTTAAGTTAATGTGACTGAAAACATACTGTTCTTGTAAAGTGGTAATTGTTTATCAAAGGGGCACTCTGCAGAGTCTACATTGTAAATTAAGCCAATTTTATGCGTTTTTATGTTATTAGTTTCAATCATAATCAATAACATTTGATGTCTGTTTCGATAAAACCTGGAACAGATTGGCGGAATTCACAATGTCAAAAGTAGAAAATGGCCTTTTTAAATTCATTTACATTATAATTGCAATTTTCTTTCATGTCTTTGTTTACTTGTGTTCTAGAAATTTTTATGTGATACGACGAATTATTAAAACATCTTGCTTTCAAAATTGTTCATTTATTTTCATTTTGGCTTTTAGTTCATTTATTTAACAAATAAATCATGGCCTTAAGGGAAATATACTTTTCTTAGTCTGACCAACCGGTCCGTAAACTTGCATTTTGCCAGAAAGGCAATATTTTGTCGTTTGGTCAATATCATTTCTACTCAACTGATCCTACCTATACTTAAAATATGATAAACACGATCAACAAGGAAAGGCGGCGTTCAATGAACGCAACCCTCATATGACCCAGCAACAAGAACCAATGGCAAGGAGCCCAGGCGGACCCCAAAAAAAACAGGACAGGGCAAATCACTAACTTCCTTTGAGATGCATATATTTTTGCAAATGAATTTACACTGATGGTCTTTATCCAAACATGTTTCTTATTCATATAATATGAATTATAGATAATTCTTATATCCAGCATAAGTAGGTCATAGGAGCTAAAATAGACTTTGAAAATAAATTTCTTAGAAGTCAGAAATTACAATGCTCAGATCTCGCTTAATATTTGGCATGTAGCATTGTGGTCATCTACAAAAGTTATGCAAATTAGGCCACTTAGGTCAAAATTGGTTACGGCCCACGGATCACTTAATTTATATTATCTTAACTTAAGGCCATGCTGTAATTTTCTGTCGCACACCTGTTGTCACTTTATTCATAAAGACTTTATAAAATATAAAAAAATATGTTAAAAGACTTCTTAGAGACACTTCGATGCCTAGAGCTCTCATATTTGGCATGTAGCATCACCTTGTGACCCTCTACCAAATTAAATAAAGCATGCCCTGAGATAAAAAAAAAAATGACCCGTCCTAGGGATCACTTAGTAAATGTAGACTTGTATAGTAATAATGCCTTAAAAGCAAACTGACAAAAGTTCAGATCTACTGATTTCTTTTATGTAGATCTGAAGACGACCGATATGTTTCGCCTTCTTTATAATTCGGATTTCCCGAGAAAGCTATTTTTAGCCATACAATCAAATTGGTTTTTACATATGCATTAAAAGAAGTATCAAAATCCGTTATACGTGCAAGTTAAACAAATTGTTTATTTTTGTTAGAAAAAAATGTTTAAAGTTATTTTTAACAAATAAATTGAAAAAATAGAGTCGATTTTTATTGGGCAAGATTGTTTGCCAGTTTACCTGTCAGCTATATGGACAACGCCATGTTTGTTCTCGAAATCATGAAATTTACCTACTCAGTATTTGTATTTTCCGTGGTCAAAATCAGACACCACATCGCTTTCAAAATTATGAAAGCTCGCCGATGATTGTCTGTGTGAATAGTCACCAGAAATAATTTCGTAAATGGTCGCGCTCAGATCTAAAAGCGGAGCGTTATTAAGAGCTGATTTTAATCAGATTGGTCTTAAGAGCTTCTTCTCTGAAAGTACAATGCCTTAATTTTAAATACTTGGCATGTATTCTCACCTTGTGGCCCTTAACAACAGTCCAACCTGGGGTCAGAAATGGTCCATCCCAGGTACCACTTAGTTTACATAAGCTTCGCCTTGTGGTCCGCATTAAAAGTTATATAAATTATGAATTATGGCACTGGAGTCAAATTGGCCCCACCCCTGGGGTCACTTAGTTTATATTGACCTGTAAAGGAAAATATAGTAGTTTTATGTTGTGAAAATAGAATGCTATGAGCTAAGATATTTGCCATGTGGGATTGCCTAGTATATTTACGCGTAAAATACATAAGTCATACCCCACGATCACAAATGGCCATCCCTGAAGTCACCTAATTAGCATATATAATGGAAATGTTTTTTAAAGTCTTCCTCTGTGAAAGTACAGTGCCCAGAGATATTTAACCTTTATAATCGTCATGCGTACCAATAAAAATTTAATATAAATCGTGTCTCTGGGGACAAAACCGGCAATATGTTTATAGAGACTAATATAGAAAAAATAATGTTTTTTTCTTAATTCTTGTTTCAAATGGAACTGCCTTTAATTTATTTAAATAATATTTATGATTTATTTCCCTATCATATTTTGTTGAATAGATATAAACCGATAATAAAGTTACAATCTCCTGGTTTCAACATTGTATATGTATTATCATATAACAGCGTATAATCTTGCAGCAAAATTATTTTTGTAAGCATTATTTACAAGGAACTCTGTCTTTTGACGTCTTGTCTAATATATGCAGGCTTCATAACATCCTTTCAAAAATCTTTTATATTAAGTTCCGCCCATTGTTTTCCCGTTTATGGCACACGAATTATTTTAATTGTTGACCATACGTTGCTTTTTTCATGGAATGGCAATAACGTGTCACATTAAACCGCCGTATGAACACATCTGCGGATGTTTCTAAAATCAAAATTTCACCATTACGATGATAAAATGTTGAATTCTACATAGGCTTGTGCTATATTACGTGAACGGTAACTTGCACTTTTCATTACCATCCGTAGATAGGCTCAATCAAACCGAACCTGTAACATTTACAACTTTGTGGATTAATACATTCTTGTTGTACTCAAAGACGGGACACCTGTTTGACAAATAGCAAGGTCATGTTTCAAACCCTTTTTTGTCTTTACTAAGATACCTAATATTTGTTTTGTAAAACAGCCAATGATATTTTAAAAATGCTTCTATGTTTTTCACTTTACAATGAATAAAAAAGATTCTTAAGAATAAATGGTAAAATTTGATATGAAAAACATAAAATTATCAGCATGTTACTGACACATTATATTTAATTTTATTTTATTTAATTACGAAGTAAATAGTCATATTAAGAAAGAATTGTGTTGTTGTCAGACAACACAATTTGCTGCAATAATGAAATAGACTGAAGGACGGAGACCTAAACCTGTACTTTTCACATCACTGTGAAGATTTTTTTATGATGTTTCAGGATACACACGAAGTTAATGTCTCATCAATATTAATATCTGTCGACAAAGGAAATACATTAATTGCCTGAATAAGTCATTTAAATGAAAAATATTAAGTTAAAATGTGTGTAAAAGAAACTTATGTATCCTAACCAATACTGTGAGTTTAAGAACTTAAACATCTCAAAATTAACAAGAGATGTCTGAGGAGCAGAGCGCTGAACTTTTCTCAGTACTTGATACTATACAGCAAATTTCCTAAATAAAGAGATCTTTTGAAGTAAAAGTCATATTGATCTTGACCATGGACCTTTTGGCCCAAACATGGACGTGGCAGGAAAATATGAATCTATGATTACGTTTTGATAAACAGAAGTTTCTTCATTTTTATTCATAGTATTGGACAGTTCATGAAGTTATATAGGCAAACAAAGTGTTGCAAAACGGAATTGATTGTACGACTTGCAATTGTAAAAATTGTAAAAAATTGTAAATTGTAAAAATTGAGCTAAATCGTATTTAGCAGGAACGTACGTCATAGCACAAGGCTTACGAGCTTCTAAAACATTTAACGCTAGTATTATTAATGTAAGGAACGACATAATTATCATTTTTTATTTGATTGATTTTTATATCTATGATGTCATATTAATCGGAGAGTCTTTATTCCATTTATTTCTCTATATGCCTTGTCATATATTTCTGTCAGGCAGTATATAATATTTTTACAATAAAGAATTAAAGCTTGAATAAAAAAGAAAGAGTTTTCATCAGGTTTCGAAACCACTAGCTAAATACACGTTCACATTGACAAGCGGACTTAACTACTGTGCGGTAGAGTCAAACGCACATGATATATCATAAAATATAATGTTAAAAAATTATAAATCACGTATGTTTACCGGAGTTGCTCTATTAACAGACTGTGCTCGTGTTTTTTTTTAATTGACGAAAGTTATTTTTATCGTGCTTGGATTATAATATCAAGTGTCATTATCATAATTGAAGTTATTCACCATAAATGAAAATTGAAATAATCAAGAAAATTAACAAAGGTCATTCTGATATTAACATTGACTTTTTGGTTATAAATGAGTATAAAAGGAAGCATTTATTTACATAAAACTTTTGAATTTCCTACGTCAATGCAATTTGACTAAATGGGCAATTTAACATTCTAAGCTCCATCTTGCAAAGAAAGATGGCGGAGGTATTGTCATGGCTTGTCCGTCAACGTTGGCGTCGGCATCGTTGTTGGTTATAGTCATTGACTTCAATACGAACAAGGTAAAACATTGAAACTTCATATATGGTCACACCTTGATGATTTCTTCCTGGCACACTTATTAAAAGGTCAAATAGGACTGTGACCTGTAATAGCTAATACGTTAAGATCCATTTTCTCATAAACAACACAGGCTAGTAACTTTAGACTTGGTATTCCTGTTAATTACCAACTTGTGATGTCATATGCAGATATTTCTAAAATTATATCTATTGCGGTTATGCCCATTTTCGACTTAGATATTCTACTCTGGACAATAATTTGAAAGTGTCATGGCTTAATGCCTCAAAACCTATCAAGTCTAAAAATATATTTTCACTTTTATAATTGGAATGCATTTATTAAGGGTAGATAACATT